CTGAACCAAAATTTTTTTCTTATCAGGTGAGTGACCCAAGTCATTTGAAAGCAGATCTTATCTGAGTATTTTCATGCCTTGCAATCAGTGTGGTACTGTTCGGAAATTAGCGTAGAAATGCAGTGCAATAGGATTTTACAAGCTCCCATATGAAAGTAGCTATGGTGGTCAATGAAGTCGTTGCTTGTTAATGGTGATAGCACAGGGACAAGTTGTGTTGTGGTAAAGCCTTTCAGGCTTTGTTCTTGGCGACGACAGGGCAAACTCTTTCATACAACTGTGCATCAAAGTCTCCGTTTGACTTCGCCATCTCAATGCCTAGCAGAGAGTGAATATCTACTCTCTGCTTGGTACTTATCTTAGCGTCAAGATTGTCTCTCACTCAGAACGTCGTCTTGCAGATGCGAAGATGATGAACTGCCGTCTGTCGACTGGGTGTTGGATCTTGCAAAGGCTGCAGTATTGAGACACGGAGTTCGAGGACTTGTGATTGATCCCTATAATGAGCTTGATCACCAACGGCCCAGTAGTCAGTGCGTTCTCAACACCTCCGTTAGTTCTTACTGGCAACTGTACCGGTTTTCCAACACTCTCCCGAAAACATAACATACTTACGGCAGTTAAAAACTTAGTGCCGCCCCGCGCACGGCTTCTTTGAGTACGGAAGAATTGTATCTCGTCGAAGTTTCGCCCCTCTTCTTCAACGCATAAAATAGTGAAGCGTCTCACGCGACGTAGTGAGATGGATGCCAGTGCTTTTTAGCTTCAATGACAAACGCTGTAATCTTACACTTTCCTTGAATTGGTAGGATCTTCGCACTACATCAAGATTATTCCTTACCATCAATGTTGTTAGTTTTCGTGGGTCGAAGGTTGATAATTCACAACGAGGCATTTGAATCACAGGACGGAGACAGAGTATGTGAGTCAGATGCTAACAAGAGTGAAGCGCTTCGCTCAACATCACGATTGCCATGTTTGGTTTGTGGCTCACCCAAAACAGGTCAGTATTTTCTGACATTAAACGGCTGATTATATGTTTCCATGTCCAAAATGGAGGAGCAGTTTTCTTTTAGGCGCAGCAATTTAAGCCTCTTCTACTGAGGGCTAGTGCAGTGGTCTGTGGAATTTTCATGGTGTTTCATTAGAACTTTGAATTGCTGCCTATAATCTAATCTGCATCATAACTTTACTGACGAATGGATATATGATGGCGCTTCGTGCAGCTGCAAGTCTGGAGGGGCGAGGCACCAGGACTTTATGACATTAGTGGCAGTGCACACTTTATTAACAAATGCGATAATGGTTTAGTGATCCACCGAAATCGTGATCCAGATGCGGGTCCTCTTGATCAAGTTCAGGTTAGATGCCCATTCACATTAGTAACATTTTAAACTCAATGCACTTCCTGCACGCAGTAGATTGTTTCTGACCTGGTAAATGACAGCTTTATTTTAACTCCGGGGTTCTGGAATGCAGGTTCTTGTGAGGAAGGTTCGCAACAAGGCAGCAGGGACTATAGGGGAAGCAACGCTTCGATATGATAGGTGCGTTGCTCTCTTATCATGAAGTGGAAGGAAGATCTTTCTCAAATCAGTGTTCCGGTGCAAGTTGAATATAGTCATTCTGAAATAAGATTATTGGTTAAAGTTTTGAAGCTGAGACATGGCTCTCTTTGTAGCTAATTCTTAAGAAGCAACGCAAGTGTTATCATGTAATTTTCTCGTTAGTTGTGTGGGTAGAACTGTTGACTGTTGACTGTTTTCACAGACACGCCCTCTTGATAGATGTGGTTTTTATGTCTAACCCTGAGTTATCTATTCTTGCAGGGCAACTGGAGAATATGCGGATGTTATCTAGTGGTTAGACTGCATTGAAACAGCTTATCACCCCTTAGGCTAGAAATTGACATTGTCGCCATTTTAGGAGGGAGGTCTAAGATTCGGATGTACACTACTTAGGTATATGTCAGCACTCTATTACGGCATAATCAAACCAGGGTGCTCAATTTTTTTCATCTGATTTTACACCAGGAATTAATTGTCAATATCCAAGCGATCTCTGTTGTAAAACATGTTTGCTTCTTTTCATTCCGAGGCGAGCATTTTAAGGTTCGAAACATGGAGGCTGGAGATTATTGATTCTCATGTGATTCTCCTCACTTGTTGAGTTCATGGAATCGAAATCGAAATTCACCGTCGTAGTATATTCTGCCTTGAGTTGTTACTCAAGGCAGAATATACTACGACGGTGAATTTCGACGTTGAAGCATTGATTGTGTTGGCTGGTTTCACCTTGAATTGTTCGGAGAGCTCGTAACATAGGTAAGGTTCATTCAAACTAAATATGGTTTGTCTATTTGTCACTCATTCTGTTATGTCATGCTACCTTGTGTAGGGCGCAAACCTTGAGCATGTTGCGTAAGGTGTCTCCCATCAGCATTTTCGTATAGGCACTTCAAACTAGATTCAACCAAGTGTATTATATTTGCGTTACTATTCAACTTTGTCAAGTGCCAGATTTGTAAACTCTCATGCTGAAATTACTACCCGATGTGCCCGAGGAGGATTGGATGATTTTTCTAATACAAACTGAGCCTAAATGGTGTCTAAGTCAGGTCAATTATATCATTAATGGATTTTAGAGCATTGCAAGTATCAAATTAAATTTTTTTTAATATGACAAAGGTTGCATATCTTCTTGTTTTATTTATTTTTTAACTTATTAGATTTAATAATGTATCATTTGTATCTATATTCAGATAATTTAGGTGTTTTTTATTACTCTTATTTCTTTCGATATGGTCATTTTTTTTCAAAATAATTGATATTTGACCCGATAGTGATACCTTCTATTGATAAGTATATATTTTGGAAATCATTTATTTGTATAATTCATTATAGCGTTTTGATTACTATTGTTTTATTTTGGTCATGCTAGGTTATTTGTTTTCTTTGAGAGTAAAATACACGCATTGAGTTCCATGCACACTAGATTAGATTATTTGATTATTGAATTTCATTTTGAAAGTCACAAAGCATAGAGTAAAGTTTCTTTTGATCTTCAACTTGCAAATAGATTATGATATGGATAGACGATTTCTTATTTTTGGAATAATAATAAAGTATAATAAATTTGTTTCAAATCCTTTACACACATCTCCTATTTTTGGAATATTAAGAAAGTATAATAAATTTGTTTCAAATCCTTTACACACATCTCTTGCCAAGGATGTATTGTATGTAGTTATCTTTCTCCACTGTTGTGTTTGTTATATTCTACTCTAATATTGATCTTCGATCCATCTATATATTTGGTATGATTTTTCATTAACATGCATTTCTATCACGTTTCACAACGTAGTATGGTATGATTATGGGTGTTTTTGATGACTTAATCGCACTAGTGATCTTCGAGTATGTCATAGGAGATTTGACACGAAGATAAACATTTTTGTCAATTTCATGTGGAAGTGTAAGTTTATTACCAATGGATGAGATGACACCTGTAATTTTTTGGGATATTGAAATCTTTGCTATCCTTCAGGTTTGTAATTGCGGATATGTCCATTCTTTAGATGTATATGAGGGATGTGGAGCAAAGATCATTTCCCTTATAGATACTTGAATAAGATATGATTTGTCCCAAGAGTCACTACAAGATCTCCCATTTTTTTCCTCTTTGTCCACTGATTGGACTAGAGGTATAGAGTCAACCATGATGGACCCAAGAGTCACAACAAGAGCTCTCAATCTGTTCCCCTTTGCCCATTGATTTGAGTAGAGTCATACATTCTTTCCTTATGGATAAACAATTTTAGTAGGCTCTACATTCTCTCTTAGTGGATCTCTTATAATATGAGCTACATATAGACTACATGAATTGTTGACTCCATGGACTAGAGTAAGGGGGAGTTTGTAAGATTAACTCTTGTCTTATTTCCCATAATTAGCTTTATCATGATTAGGTTAGGCCATTTAGATTAGTTATTTACTAGACTCAAGGTCATATATAATGGCTCATTCCCTCTGGACGCTAAATCTATAGACTTTCACTATGGAGACTCATGTTCTTTAAATTTTAGTGAAATATTCGCTCTTGTCCGTGGATGTAGTTATTCATTAACCACGTATATCTGGTGTTTATGTTCAATGTTGTGTTGGTTGCATTGTTTATATGCTTCCAAAAATCTAAATAGATCTCCACAATATCCTCAAATTATTCAAGCCCATCGTAAATTCGATTATGATGCTCTTCTAAGAAATTGTTCTAAGAATTCTTCAACCTACTTAAAATCTACATCGTCTAGCATGTTGGTCAAGAGATTGGTCTTATCCACGGGATCAGAAGAAGGCTACTTTTAATGGCCCACCTGAGGAGGATCCTTAAGAAGTTTTTCCTCTGATAGAAGAGAAGATCCAATAGTTTGTGGAAGTGGTGGATCTACCACGATGATGTGTGCTTGAATCTTGCTCAAATGTTCTAGCATATTGATTGGTACCGCAACATCTTCACATGTTGCGGTACCATACAGAAATTGAAATGATGGAAGATGAGAACTGATTTTTTATCACTTCTCCCGATAAACATAACCCTCAATCCAAGTGGAAAAATGATATATGTATCACTTCTCCCCACTAAATGAATCCTCAATCCAAGTGGAGGAGTGATACATGTATCACTTCTCAAAAATAGTCACTAATATGTTCTCACCGTTATGATTTGCACATTCTCAAATTGCACATTCTCAAACAATGTGCATAGAGCAAACTCCTTCAGATCAGTTTTTGGGAAGTAAAACTGGGTGACGTTCACAATGTAAGTACTTTTTGCCACCCTACAAATGTCATGCAGACGATTATATGGTGTTGTAACAATAGCCAAAATTAAATAAGATTGTGTGTCATGAGGCTGTGAGTATGTAGTAGCTTATAAGTAGAGGTATTTATGATAGCGCAAGAAATAATAATGCGTTATGTATTTGTTTTGGGTCATCACAAAGCCCGCGTAGCTAAGATGGTATAGCATTCCCATGATAAGGGAAAAGCCTCCGGTTCCAATCCGGTCTTGTGCAATTAGCTGATCGCTCAGCTAGTTCCTTGTCAAACGGAAGGTACGTAAGCACTTTCAGACCCATATGGTGTACGTAATCAAAAGACGTAAATTACTAACGTTAGCAAAAAAACAAATACCCGGAAATGACGAAGTTAGCTAAATACTTGTTAAGAGAGATGTGAGCCGATAACGAGCTAGTAACCGACATTCAGGACTCGTAGAAAAACTTCCACCTTGCTTTAGCGATTGAAACATTGCAGTTATATTAAGTATTTCAATGAAGGTCATCCGTTGGAATTTTTGTTTTTTTATTTATTCAAGTAAATGAAATAATGTTGTATTATTCAAAAAAAAATAATCTTTTAGTTACTTGTTTGTAGTGTTTTGGACAATTTTATATGTGATTAAGATCAAGATCTGATCGATGCAATACAAAACATGTTTTGGTGTATAATATCAATTGATTAACATCAATTAGTCATGATAAAATAAAATACATAATACATCCCTCCTCATCAAAAATAGTCTCTCATTGGGAAATATTTTGATGAGAAGGGATGTGCAGTGTGAGGATATTGTATAATAATACAAAGTAAAGTGTCATGGAATGATTTTATATGGTGATTGAATATGAAAAATAAATTATATATTTTGAAAAGTATCTACATGATTTGTGAGTTTTATTGCATGAACATGATATTCAAATTTATGATGTCTTCATATAAGGAGGTTTAAATATTGGTTTTATTTTATTATAAGTCTAAATATAATATGTAAGTAATTTAATACACAAATAAAGTTTACTACAATGATTGTATATTTTTCGTTCAACTATCTACACTAATATGGCGTACTTTAATTGTGTGTATGTCACTCTATCTCCAAATAGTGTATATGACAGTAGTATATCTTATTAAAAACAAAAATACCCAACTTTAAATAGTGTAATATACACTAATTACAGAACTGTCGGTAGTAGTAAAAGCATGACAAAGATCACGCCAAAACCATATAGAATATCATGGGACAAAGTATAATAACAAAAGGGATGGGAAGATCCCATCAAAGCGTACAAGGAAGGAACCAAACCAGTAACATGGGGCTAGGCCCCAATAGTATCACACTGGGAAATATGTCCTACAACACCTAAGATATCCGAACTATATAAGTCAAACGGTCTACAAACAACATGAGCATCTTAAGAAGCATCACCTAACGTGATTGCTCTCCTATGGATTACACCAGCTAGTGCTCTCTGTAGAGCAATGGAAACATGTTGCCTAAAATAGGCTATACAGTAAGCTAAAGAGAGTGATACCCCATGTCGCCTAGTATGGTAGGCTCTCGCGCAGTCCCTCACAAACATGTCAAAGTCGGCTGCTGCTGCTCCACTTGCCGTCCATCCTGGAGGATGGATGATCACCCCCTCTGAAACTGTGTCTCTAGTAGGATCGGTAACCACCACATCTGCCACAGTGACCTGGTCCTCACAAACCAAGTACAAGTCTGACCTAACCCTAGTCGACTGCAAGACATACCAACGCTCTCTCCATGTGAGGTATCCACCCTCTCGCGCCATAGCAAACACCACATCCCTAATGGCATCATGGGTAGCTATACTCTCCCCTCCCAGTGGACAACGAGTCATATGAACACATGCTGCATCTAAAGTGATACCACACTCACATGTGAGTAATGAAGATGAAGATGGATGGACCAAGCCAAGACGGAACCTCATCGATGTGGAGAAAGTAGCTGGTGCGAGTCGGAAAGCCCTGATGCATGGTCGAGCCAAGATCCACGAGCCTACGCTCTTGCTCGGGCAAGGGCGTAGACGAGCTCTAGTAGTACGAGAAATGGCCGGATCCATTAAGAGTGAAACCATATAGAATTAAGGATGATGGAGCTCAATGCAAACTTAAAGGATGGTAAGAAACATGCAGCAATCGAACATAGGTCTAGGAGGTCAAGGAGAGAGCATAAAGACTCACGGGAGTCTTTATGACACATAGAGTTTCAAATAAAGAATGGGGCCTACAACTTAAATACCATCAAAGGGCTGAGATTTTTAATTCAAAATTGGCTAAGTATAGGACTTGGGGTGCTTAAAGAGTGGAATATAAAGAGGTCCAATGAGTCCCATTGCATCCTCAAAGTTTGAACACAAGTTAGTCATCCCTCCAACAAACGACTATGTCTTGAGACCTATTGTTTACTCCTATATATGAAGTCTTCACATTATTAGGCCAAATCAGGATAATGACTTCCATATACCATGGTAAAATCAATGTTCTTCTATACTACATGTTTCCAAATTTAATTTTTACAAATGAATATTTTGTAACAAAATTAATATGATGTGCTATACATCTATTTGATAATTTTCCATGAATGGGCTACATGACATATCCTTGTTTTGAATTCTTTTGAACATCATATATTTTTCATTTATTGTCCAAACATATACATTGGGTGAGTATCTTGTGTGTATAAACAACTCATGGGAGTAAATGTCATGCATATACATATTGCATCACAACATACATCATTGTCACATCAAACATCATAATACATAGATCGTCATAAACCAACACAAATGTATCACAATCACCTCCCTAACTTATGACTTTGTTCCTCTAACATCAAATAGCCATCTAATCCATTAACATGATATGTCCTTTGTAGGACTAAGATTAGGAAATGAGATGCGGAGAGATATGGATGCTTATGTGAGGGAGTATGCATATCTTATCACGACATGCGACAAGGATCACATCTAACAGTATCCTTTTGCATTTAGTATTTATACAGAGCATAAAGAAAAATGGCTACAAAAGTTTATGCTTGTTCCGCACTCCTAGGAATTACAACTAATGTATATAATATATGTTATTTTATCATATATTATATAACTGTGTACACATTTTCTTGAATGCATATTCAAATTAAACATTTAAAATTTTATGTTTATAATTTAATTCAGATACTTAAATTTATTAAATAATTATGTTTCACGTTCTAGCATATTTTGGGATATGTTTTCGTGTGTTACGATCTCTCCATTCATATCAGACCTATTCACTAGCATAGATTCTGGAGAATGTTTCCTTCTTGGATGATCCACGTGCACGAGTGATGATGAGTGCACATCAAATACGATGATGGATTGGACTAGCTTTATTGTTGGATGTAGTGAGGACGTGGATTCGTGCACATCATCCATGTCTATGGTGGACAAATCTTTCTCCAAGGGAGGTTTTATTACGAGCATATGATGGAGTGCAGAGCCTCTCACATCTCACATATGTTGGATCAACCTATGTACGTAAATTGTTTGAGATGGATTGTGTTAGATCTCATCCTTGGTCTTATTGGGATGTTAGAGAAGGAGGTGGAGTCTTCTTCTAGTATAGTTCAAGTTTTTTTGCATGGAGCAAGCAATGGTTATCACTACGGAGCTTTATGATATAATTCAAGACGTTACAACTTGTACGGTATGAGTTGTTCATATTGAGATAGTGCAACATGGTATGAGAGATTAGAAAAAGCTTTCTACTCAAGGCATTGTCGTTTAGCAATCATATACTACGTCTTCTACCTCTAGTGTTGATATAGAGGAGATTTTGCATATTAAGATTGGTCCCAAAATGAGAAGAGGTTCCAACAATGCAACAGAGTCAAAGTATAGTTCTTAAAAAGTAAAATATTTAGCAGATGTTTGGACTCTGGCGTATTTCAGATGTATTTGTGTGGAAACTACTTCACTCTCATTATTGATCATTAACTATTGAAGTTGTTAATGGAATCAAATAAGCTTACAAGAAATCTTGCATAATTGATTCTTATCCTATAATGTATGATTTCATAGTTGTACACTGATCATAAATGATGAAGCGTGACAAGAATGGGTTAAGTTGAAACCCATACATTAGTCAAATTGACAAAACCATGGCTCAATGACATAATAATACCGATGAGGAGATGGTGTTGGGTTGGCATGCATCTGTCATTTTGAGTATGTTGGCTCCCGAGAACCATATGATATCTTTTTTGTATTAGAGATTGGATATGTTATCCTTGGACATTGACACTAAGGATGGTTTGATGGTAAGTCAAGATATCCATGATGACATGGTGGTGTTAGAGTCTTTTTGTACATGTGCTTTGGTGGGCATTTTCTGTGCCAAGGAGCAAGATTGAGTTTTACAAAGAGCTAAGAAGTTCAGATGGGAAGGTAGACACCTTCTTTGTGTATGGGTAGATGATAGAGTCCTTGTTATGCCACTTCTATCTTAGAGAACTTAATTGGTCAAACATGCTCATGAGGATTTAGGTCATTTTTGAGTAAAAAGGATATATATATGATTTCAAAGTCACTATTGATGAAGAGGTATGCAAATTAAGATGCAGTAGTTTATGGCCATATGTATGGTTTGTATTGTAGGGGCATCATTCAATGCCATTACATCACATACTAATTATGGGATTGGTTATCATTGCATGACCTTTGTCATTGACTATATGACATCATCGATATGTGTAAGTTATGATGGAGCATTTTTCCAAGAAGATTGAATTAGTGGCATTGTCTGACAAGCCAAGTGAGGGAACATCTTATGCATTTTTGGCTTTAGTGCTTAGCGGATTTGGTGCAACATCAAAGTTATTGATTGATTAGGTAAGTTTCAAGCTTTCAGTTTCAAATTAGCAAGTGTTGATTCTTTTGGACATGTTTCAAGCTTTGTATGATCGAGCATTGATCGATAATCATACCATCTCAATAGATCATCTAGAGATTGATGGTTTAGCATAGAGTTGTTCAAATGGTGAAGAGAAGATTTAGAAAGTTTGATTTGACAAAGGTTATATGGGAGACTTGGACATCCAACTACTGTGGTTGGCCATGGATCATATATTTAGTTAGCAAGCATCTTTACATTATTCTCACTGTACTTTTAGTATATGATAGAGGTCTAGACTTACTTGTAGCTATTTGTTGAGAATTAGAAGAAGTCTTGGACTT